GAGGGCAGGTGGATAGATGAGAGAGGTAGGTGTGGTGAGAGGGAAGAAGGGACTTGGGGGAGAGAGAGAAGAAACTGTGTTGTAGAGAGGCAAAACAATACCACATGTGCTGTGTAGGAAAGAGGAAGGAGGAAAAAGGGAAGCAGAAGATCCATAGAAATGTATTTAATTTTAAATAACTTCTTACTTACAAATGCCAAGTTGACCTTAAAATCTAAATAAATCAACATCGTGGATGTGAACGGTGAGTTTCCCCAAAGTACAGTTGCTCCGAGGGCGTGGTATGCAGAAGGCAGCACCTGCCATGCTTTAATTGGAGTTATTCCGGGCTGATTTGCCTCCACATTGGAGAGCACAGAGGAGATCACTTTCCTCTGTTAGCTCTAGGCCTTTCTTCCTGACTTAGGAAGAAATATTAAGGGACTAATAAGAACAACTTAAGCAAACAGTGACTAAGACAGAAATATGTTAATTATATGCAAGAGTTTGAAAGGTGCATACACGAAGGAGGACAAGGAGTTATTTAGCCCGGTAGCTGGATATTGCCAGGAGACACACAAGTACATTAAGCAAAGGGAGATTTAAACTAAACACGAGATCCCAGAATAAATATAACATTCAGCGATGTGAGCAAGCCTATGGAAATTGGTTGAGATGTTCAAAATACCAAAATATGATCATTTGCATTTCCAGTAAATATTTATACATGGGCAGGAAATAATAGATAAGAACAAGAGAAGGACGTAAGTTGTACCACAGGACTAGTCCATGGAAAACTTAAACAGCAGATCATGCATCAGTTTCTGGTGTTAGCATTATTTAAGAGCTTAATAGGAAATGGAAGCAGATCCCCTGGGTGGAGAAAAGCTGGTCAGAGTGAGCAGAAAGAAGTGGGGAAAAGGTGTCCCCTTGGGAACATACACATAGGAGAAGAGAAAGGAGCAGCCGAATCTGTATCATAGAGTTTTTGTGACTTAAGATTCAGAAAGTGCTGTTAAAACCAGAAGTGGCTCACTGATATGAAAGGATTGTTGAATGTAATACTAGTATCTGCTTGTGCTTCTTAGTTTAGTTAAACACTGCCCCACTCTAGTCAGGCTAATCTAATAAGATACAACAGAATTCTGGTAAACAGTAGATAAGTTTGGTTTTATTTGAAAGGCAGATTTACAGAGAGAAGGAGAGACAGAGAGAAGATCTTCCATCTTCTGTTCAGTCCCCAAATAACCACAACAAACCAGAGCTGAGCCAAGCTGAACCCAGGAGCTTCTCTTGGCTCTCCCGTGGACCAAAGGACTAGGGCCATCCTCCACTGCTTTGCTAGGTCATATGTAGGGGGTTCAATTGGAAGTGGAGCAGCCAGGATGTGAACCAGTGCCAATATAGGAAACTGGCATTGCAGACAGAGGATTAGCCTGTTGATACATCACACTGGCCTCTAACAGTAGAAATTCATTCCTGACAGTTCTGAAGGCTGGGAAGCCCAAAGTCAGTGCAAGGATAAAATCAGTGTCTGCCAAAAATGCACATCCAGATCCAAAGATTGCCATTGTTGCCCATATCGTTCATGGTGGAAGCAGCAAAGGAAATTTGTATAGTTCCTTTTATAAAGGCACTACCCTCATTGATGAGGGTGCCTTCCTTCAAATATTCCATCTATAGCAAACTAGATCATCACACATTTATTGAGTGATTAAACTCTTCCAAAAACAGTCTTAATTTGTGTTGATATATTATGAGTAAGGTATATTTTCTGAAGAGCCTCTAGTCTTGGATTTTAATTTTCTAGCAGCAGAAACCTCCCATTTCGTGTCCAGTTCTGGTGCATTAACAAGAGATTCTCAAGTGAAGAAATACAGTGATGCATTTTGGGCAACTTCACCTATGGGTGTGAGCTCGACCGATTAATAAGAAATGTCTACGAACTTCAGGCCCCAAATGTTAAACAAGGAAAAGCAGCAACAAGGAGAGTCTAAGGGGGTTGTTGAGTTTTAAAATCCTCATCAGTGTATTTGGGTGAGGGACGAAGATAGATTTGGCCACCTAAACTTCATATGCATTATACTCCTATACTCTGTGAGACAGCTGTGAACAGCTGTTGGGTATGTGTGGACTCAGTAGGGGAATACTATAACAAGAGGAGAGATGGTCTCTGTCTCAAATGCGTATTACTGTCGGAAAAGCTGCCCTTGTATTCTTGGCTAGTAGCAGCAAAGTCATTCCTAGAGGTGTGAGTAGAAACCATGTCTGATGAGGATCTATTTTATTATCTGCTTATCTAGGAAAAACGAGAATGTAGTACTTAGATTGGCACATGAAACTCACAGGCTCCAACCCCCCCAAAATACAGCTTGATTCTTCTTCATTCCATTTACTGTTTATTCTCAGAGGAGCTGTCTTTACAAACTAGAAGAGTGTTAGCTGGTATTGCTAACAACCATCTCTTCTTTCCTGTAAGCAGTTTCTTGTAGAAATTTAAAATGCAGGTAGGGACCCAAGATAAACTGTTTGGAAAGCAATTCAAATGTTGTAAGCCATCTTTAAGTATTTGTTTTCTCTTTCTTCTACTGACCTCTCTGTACCTATCTGGGAAGAGATGTTATCAGTGTGGAGCAGGGCAAGGAAGAAATGCTAAGATATTCTCAATTAAGTTGATCTCCTTGATCATTAAACTGCACCATGATTCTCAGAATCAATGAGTCTCTCTTACTGCATCTTCCTCCCCTCTCTCAGAGGTCCTTCTAGTGGGGACCAGGACTCAAGGTGTGATGACCTTGCCGAGAAGAATCAGGTCACAGTGGATGCAGAGGTTAGATGAGCCAATGCACATTTTATTGAGTTCTACTGGGCAACTTATACCATACTTTTGGCAGAACAAGCAGGCAGATAAAAGTTGCTAGCCAATTAAACAATAGCATACAAGGTACTCTAAGAATAGGTCTCAAGGAATTTGGGAAACAATCACCAGGTCTCAGGTAAGAAGATAAGTAAACATGAATTACAGGAACCAATACTGGTAAACAAACAGATCTAACTAGAAAAGGAATCTAACAGAACTTTGTTTGTACTCAGATATGTTCAGGCCACAATCACTAAAGGAAGAGGACTATGATAGAATGCCTCACACCTCTCTAGGCACGCTGTGCCAGTAAGGTGTCAGCAATCTCAGCAGGAAGTCTGGCGTCCGCAAAATCCTGTCTGCCAAGAATGTTTGAGATTTGTGGTCCTCAGACATTTGGTGGTCTGGTTTTGGGGTGGGGGGGCGGGAATTGCTCAACAGTCCTCTGAACTCCAGTTTTTGGTTTGGTTTGGTTTGGTTTGGTTTGGTTTGGTTTGGTTTGGTTTGGTTTGGTTTTAGTTAATACTAGCCTGCTTGGAGCAACTGTCAAAATCACTCTTAGTTGTCTTGGTGTTTGTGTTTAACTATAAAAATTTTGGCAACAAGTAGACATGACTCTTAAGCCATTAGAAGGAAGTGTATGCCAAAGATTACTTTTCCCTGCTTCAATCCAAGTTCAGTCCAGTAAATCCAATCAAGTGGCCTATAACCCCTTGCAAAATTTCAGTTTTCTTCCCTCCTACATTATGTATTTCATGTTTCTTCTGCAATATATAAAATTGGATTTGACTGCTTGTTTGAATTTGGGGAAGTGAATAATGGCAAAAGGATTTTAAAAAAAAGGTTACTTTTTATAGATAATACCCAGCTAAAGCTATAGATTGATTCTAAACTAATCTCAGTAGATGCATATGTTAGATAATATGGAGAATTTCAGAACAAAATAGCTTTATTCCTACTGATTATTGTTGGGATTGCAAAATTTCCTTCAAATTGATGATACAGACAATTAAGTAAAGACTTGAAGCTTTGGGTACTCCTGAGAGTTGAATCATAGGATGTCATCAGAGGCTTTGTGTTCCACTGGGAGCCTCGTTAACATGCTTAGCTGACATATTTAGAAAGTGAATTCATCTCCATGCTGCCTGGCTTCTATGTCGATTTGGCCATCAGGGAATTTACAGAAAAGGAAAACAGCTTTTGGCATTTAGGCAGAGCTGTTAATTGGTACCATTTGGTGTACAATGACCGGGAGCAAGATTCGATGGGGCAGAATTGTGGTCTTGGGCACCTTCCCCAGCTGTTGTACCCATTCACAAGTAGCAGCAGATTTTGGGACAGTTCAATTTAGTCAGACTTCAAACCTACTGACTTCCTGGTCCAACCCTGGCTAATCTCTTCCTCGGTCAAATTCTTCCCTCTTTAGACCTGCCTCTCCTCCTATTCCAGTCTATTTTTTCTTTCTTACTTCTCTTGGTCTCCCTCGGAAGAAGTTTGCTGTACTTCTCATTGATCTGGCTCATGCCCTGAATTCCTCAGCAGTGACAGAGCTTGATAGAGAAAAGAGGAAACCCCTGGGCAAAACAAGGTTTATCACATGTTGCTTGTGGACAGCATTCCACATAATCTGGACAAGAAGGGTGGTGTCCAAGAAGCCATTTCTCTAATAACCATTTTGGTGGGAAGCTATTTGCAGCATGGTGTACCTGATAATGGCCATCTAACACCCACAGGCCAAGTGTGCATTTCACGACTGTAGGGAAGTTTCTCCAGAAGATGAGCAAACACTGCAGCTTCTTGCCCCCAATTCATACAACTTTGGAGTGAGACATATACTCCCACAGAAATCCTTGAAGAACTGAGCCAAGATTGTTTTGTATGTGACATATGTGGGTATCCCAGTTTTGTTTGGTGTCTTTTTCTTCCAAGGCCCACTTTTCTCTCTTTCTTACCAGTTATTCCTGAAAGCACTTCTCATGCAATCACATTCACAGGACTTCCCGTCTTGGGATCCTTTTCCACAGAATCTGGATTCAGACAAAGCACATTGTCAAATTATTGAAAAGCCAGGTGGATTTACTGCTTTTACAAGGAAAAATGAGGCAACCTACTGCATATTTTAGACTTTAAAAAAGCATTCATATAAAACTTTTTTTTTCAGGAAGAGAATTTGAAGGAGAAGAAGAATATCTGGAGATCCTTGGCATCACCAGGGAGCAGTCAGGCAAATACGAGTGCAAAGCTGCCAATGAAGTCTCCTCGGCAGATGTAAAACAAGTCAAGGTCACGGTGAACTGTGAGTATGGCAGGAGCTCACAGGGACTGTGTGCCCTGGGCATGTCTATACCTCCAACAAATGCTAACGGTTCCATTGGGAAAATGGTGTTGCATTTCAAACAGATGCTCTGATGGTCAGGGATACACATTTATACGTTGGACAGGACTCAGGCCTTACTCAAGCATTTCTAAATATAACCCACAATACACTTAACAATAGCTTTCTCTCTTTTTGCTCAGAACACAGAATAAAGAAAACATGATCAGGCAACAGTTACATTTCTGAAAATCATAATTCTAGTCTTTGTGTAAATGAGGGTCATAAACTTTGGAAAGAGCAATGATTTAAATATGCTTCACCTAGAATTTCCCTATTAGTGCATTATTTCTCACAATGAAACATTGAAAGATTTTATTTTATCCTTTACTATTTAACTACTTTGGGAACAAATTCAAGCCAATTTGGTTAGATAACATGTGTCCCCACTGCCTATCAGGGATGCTTGATAATTAATTTGGTTATCTATTTGTCCCAAAGTCTGGGCATTAGAAACGAAGATTTCACTGAGATGCATAGGTAAGTGGGCATACTTTGAACTTTTTAGATGAAAAGATCCTTAGATGTAGTTCAAAAGGGGGGGGATCCATAAGATGTGTGTCACCCAGCAAAAGGAATAAAGAGAATTTGTTTATCCTATTCAGTTAGGAGTGACTTTCTACATAACTCAAGTCTCCACAACACATAATTATGGCTTGTGACAGCAATAAAGGGATGCCTTGATAGTTCTTCCAATCTGTGCCTTTCATGTGAGCACATACGCACACATTTAAGCTACATCAAATGCATGCATGCACACAGATGTGTATGTACAGACATGTATGCACACAGATGTGTATGCACATGAATTTCAGTCTGTTTGGAAGTATGCTTTGGTTGTGATGAATTGCTTTCCATATTGTAACCTCCATGCAGTTACCCAGGTGCAAGGAGCTTGACAGAAAGTCTGTCTATTCTCAACAAGTTACATATCATTGACTCGGTTTCCAAGTTGGAGAACACTGAAGTCAAGGAAGGAAAGTTGCCTATCCAACACACCATAAAAAGCAAATATAGAAAAGGGATTTGATGTTAGGCCCATTTGACCCTAAAACCCACATTCTCAGGAGGAAAAGGAGTTTTTAGTTTTTCACAACCACTATGTATAGCACTGAATTAAGACATTTTCATTTTATATTTAATTCTCAGAGTTCACCTGTATCATGAGTTGTGCTTCAGGAATTTGAAAACTGAAGCAACTTAGTTAGGATGATCCAGTCTGTAGTGGATCTTAGTGTTTTGAAACAGTTAGCAGAATCTTTCCACACCACAGCTTGGAGAGTGCTGTAGCTCTGATTCTGCCATGGACATTTATGGATTCATTTCCAAGAAGCAGGCGACAGCATTTGATGAGCTCTGTAGTGCTTTCATCCTTAGCTGTCTCCAAAATTTTTAGTAATAGAATTTTGAAATGCCACTATTACTATTCTTTTTCTAGTGCTGGGTGTGTTTCAAAGACCCATTAATGATTTCAATGTTATAAAATGCTCTAGGACTTTTTCCACATGAAAGGCAATTTCTCTGGGTGTTTGTATAAGTTTATAATTAGGTTAGTGAGCCTCTTTTATGTATATGTAACCATGCCCTTGCCTTCTACTCCTTCTCTGACTTTTAGAGTCAAGATTTCATTTTCTCTTAATTGACCTTCATCTTAATTAGATTTCTGAAAGTCCAATCATGGAGTAAATAGAAAATATTTATGCTTCCATTGTAGGAAACATCAAAGTGGTCTGGATTGCAGATGGTTCCCAAGATCAAAGCTAGCTGTCTGGGCCCTATTATTATTAGCGCAATTAGTCTGACATTGCCCCTTTTTCACTGTCCCCAAAGTGTAATTCAGAACAGAAGAAAATACTGATAATTTTCAAGAAAAGACTTTTATGAAAATGTGAGCTTTTCCTAGTGATAAGGGAACCACAGAAGAATATGGTCAGAACCTCAAGATGCCGAAAAGATTCCTTACAAGAAATTATAAGAAAAACTATAAGGGGTTTAATTAAACACCCAGTATGACTTAATCAGCAGGCTCTAGCACTTTTCTGACCTTACAGAAACTGCTCAGTAAATGTTTACTAAATGAGTAGATGAAAAAACTCAAGGGTAAACTCTGTCCTCTTAACATTTCTCCAAATTTCATAAGTGATACTGGTCACAAATCAGGAAAGTATTATTTTTACTTAAAATCACCTTTTTTTAAATCAAAATATCATAAGCTGTGAAAATGTCACATTACAAATAGCCATCACACTAACTGTCCCAAACAATTCTTCCCACTCAACAACATGTGTAGCAAGACGTTTGAGTCACCAAGATTGAATTACAGAATCGGTTGAGCCTATTAAAGACCCTGCATACAGAGAAACATGCATTAATAGCCTTGGTGCCTCCTCCAAGTCGGCCTGCTCTGAAAACGTCTCATGATGTACATGGATTCCTCTTCCTTTACAAAACACAGACTTTAGAATCAAGTCAGGATATCTGAATGGCTAAGATAACTACTGGCTGAATATCGTAATGAACAAATCCTGAGTACCACTGTGGCAGCTTTTTTTCCCAACAACACTTCATTGATTTATTTTCTCAGCTGCCAACAGATGTTTATTGCAGGGCACTGAGAGACTGAGTATAAATGAGATCTACAACAGTTTCTCTTGTCAAGCTCACAACCTGGATTCCATAGCCTTTCCTTTTCACTTCTCTTGATAACCCTTCTCCATACGAGGTCAGTGGCATTGCACATATATTCAGGAAAATGTGAAATCTATTTTCTAAATGGAGGGAGGCCCTTGAGTTTACAGAAAGCTAAATTGTCAGCTGGAAATCTCCTCATTTAAATATGCTTAGTACACAGAACTTCTGGCTTCCTGTATTTCACCCATAACAGAGCTGCTAATTTCTTCTAGCTTTAAGGACATCATATCCTTTCTTTTCAAGTTCCAGGTGTTCTCACAGTATCGCAGTACAGCAGAACTGTTTGCTTGTGAGTCTGCCTCACTTTAGTGCCTACTATCCTTGGAGTAACATTTAGCACAGAATAATTCTCCAGTTAATACATACCATTAGCTTTATTTAGGTCCTCTTTTTTTTCTGGTTTCTTCTGATCCCCTGGAGAAATTTTTCTCAACAGCAGCTTCCAGTCCTGAAACTTGGTTCCTTCCCACCTGTTATCTAATGTTCCCAGCTAAAAAGTTTTCTTTTCAAAAAGTTCACTTGATCCTGCTTTTCACCAGCTACTTTCTTCGAGATCAACTCTTGCTCCACTCTGGTGCCTAGATCTAACCAATTCAACCAACACAATTCTTGGGACACATGGGATGGTGGCATTTCACAACCGGCATGTCACAATGTGATAGCCATTTCCCTAGAGGAAGGAAAAATTGCCACAAAACAGATAGCTGGGAATGGGCACACCTGGTGTCTCTAGATAACATATTGTAACTAGACTTTTCCACAATTTGTTTGAAAAATAGCGAATGAGAGAATATTGAGAAAATATCTGTTCAACATGCAAGCAGACAATATTCTAAGCTGTCCTTGCTGTTCCTTTCCAGTGACCATACTGGCCTTAAGTTTATTCTGGTAACTTGGAAAGGTATGAGTAAAGATATTCTCTAATGTCTATGAGTGTACTATGAGAACTTCCGAGCAGGTAGTCAGTGAAAATCCAGGATTCCATTACTTTCTACTGTAATTTTGCAATAATTATCTGGGTGCCTTCAGAGTACCAAAGGTATCTTAATTATTCCATGTGCATTTGATGTAATCATCATGATGGTATTGACAAAACAGTGGGAAGGTATAGGAGTCTGATCGGCCCTGCCAAGGAGGGATGTTTATCATAGGTGTCCATTAGTATATTTGTTTAGTATTGTTTTTGTTAAAACATGCCTTTACTTATTTTGATTCCTGAATTCTCCATAGATGATGCCTTTTTTTTTTTTATTCCTGTTCTCTGTGTCTGCTGTCTCATTAAACCATCACATAACAAGCTTGGTAGACAGTTGATATAATTTCCATGTAGAGAAGGTAAAAGCAAAGCCACAAAAATCACTTGTGAAAAAAAAAATTCACTTCTGAGTGGCAGGCTTGTTATTCTAATATAGGCCTTATTTCAAAGACCCCTCCACCTTCCATGAAACCATGTAAAGATGAGCCCAACAAGATGAAAAAAAATCACTTTGGATGTTAAACTGCTCTCCTATGTATGATTTGGTTGATATTCACCTCAAACCTGTCACATAGGCAGGGAGCTGTCACCATCTATAGTCATAGGTGAGAGGCAGTCATATCTGTGCTAACAAGCTAAACTGAACAGGTGAAAATTGGGCCCATACCTTCTGACTCCCAATATGGATTTATAAACTATGCCATTGCATGCTATGCCACTATTTGTATTCAAAGAGAAGAATAGTATTTGGTTTTCAGGTTACCCATATTTTACTGTAAATGATATCTTTCCTTATTAATATATAAAATTGAAAACATTTGTGCAAATAGAAGTGGCTGAGCAGAGTTCAGAGCATGGGTGTCAGAACATGACAGGCCTGATCCAAAGCTGTATCCTGTCCAGTACCAGTAATAGGACTGTAGACAGGGAACAACCCTCGGTAGGCCTGTCTTCTCAATCCTAAAACAGGCTAATAGCACTCCCCTCCTAGAGCCATTGTTCAGAAGAAAAGGATATCTAAACCACAGTAAAGTACTCTCACAAAGTAAATAATACCTAATAAATTCCTTCTTTAGTTCAGTTTATTGTATACTGTTATTCTCAATATTAGGAAGATGAAATCAAAGCTAATTTATTTTCTAGGCCATTGTCATTGTTATCCTATTCATTTTCACTGAAAGAGGCTTATTTGTGATATGAGAAAAAGAATGGCCTTTTTAAAATATTTTCAGAACCCAAAATTTCAAAATAATAAAGATTGGAAATATCCTCAGACAATTGTAAGCTATTCCAAAGTCCTGTACAACAGTGGACCTCTCTGTGCAATATTGTTATGAAGCATGATTTTTATTGTAACTGTACTTTGACCAAGAACATCTATTAATTACCCTAGACAGGCCACAGGATAATTTATAATAATCTTTCTTAGCCTCTCTTATGCAGAATTCATTTGTGATAAATGAAGTGCAATTGAATTAAATTTTCATTTCCAAAAGACACAAAAGAACATGCCTGAACTATGGTTTCATTTGAGAAGTATAAGGGACAATAATCTCAGTACTCATGATCTTACCTTGGCACAAGAGAATTGTTTAACTTTTAAATAAATAAGCAGGTGGTTGGCCATTTTTAATTGGTCAGTATCCCCCTGACCTGAGATTTATGTGCTCTGAAGTATCCAACCCTAGTCTATTGTTTAGCCATCCAGAGCTTATTTAGAATTGAAAAATAAGTGAAAGGACTAGTTTGGAATGCACACATGCTTCTGTTGTCAGAGATTCCGGATAGAGGCAGCAGCTTAGTGTGGGACATCACACACCCTTGACCAGGGACTGCAGCAGGCCTTCCCTTTAGCAGCAGCGAAGACAGGGGCCATATTAGACCTCTGGAAGGAGAAACAAAGTACTTCCACTAGAAGCCCAGAGACAATAGGGCAAAGAAGAAAACCATGAGCCAAACAAGCCCGATATTCTCTTCCCAGATTTGTTTATTTAGGGAAATCATTCCTTCTCATATTCCTTTTGTAGGTGTACAAAATAAGCACATACAAAGGAGTTTCTAGAGTAAGTAAAAGCTCTCCAGAACCCTTCAACTTGGCCCTGTGTTCCTGGTATCCAGGTAGAGTAACCTGAAGGCCACCACTATGCCAATGTTATGTTGAGGCACGTAGCTGTATGTCAAAGGTGACGGTAGAATAAACCCCTGGTTTAGGACTGCTTTAGCAAAGCAATGTTCATCGTTAGGGATTCATCTCCTAAAATCTGTCAATCCAGATGCTCACTAACACTAGATAAAACTCATTTTACAGATTGCAAAATTGAGTAAACCAACAGAAGCACAAAAAGAACGACCCATCTACCTAGCACCAAGGACCACTCTGCCATAGACTGTGAATTCAGTGGTAGCATAAGAACCTAACATTTGGAAGGGAAGTGAGGATGAGAAACTAGATTTCACCGAGTGTTTTCCTGTAGATCCTGTAGATTCCTCCTATGTATTTTGTCTCAATGGCATTGTTTAGATGTCTAAGCCAAAAAAAACCTGGCTGTTATTTTTGTTGACATTCCTTCTTTACCCCTCTCTTTATATTTAATCCATTGCTTATCTGGTGAGGTCTAAAGCCTCATATAGTTTATCTCAACTCTGTCCTTTTTTCCTCCATCCTGTTAATCACAAAGCTTAAGCAGACCCCAGTGAACCCTTATCTGTAGTTTCAACACTTACTGATGAAAGAAATTGAACCAGTGTAACTCTGGGAAAGATGCTGGACTTTCTAATGAGGAAGAGAGCTGGAATTTTAAGCTCAGCTCCATCACACTTTAAATCCAAGTTCATGAACTCTGTTCTATGCTTCATACATCTACAACACTAATGCCAACACCAGTATCACCGATTATTATTCTTTGAACTAATGCGCACTCCTGGCCTGCACAACCCATTACCAGATTTAAAGATGGAACTCTTGTGATCATTTAAAACTAGCTCCCTCTCTGGAAAGAAACATCAGTGTTGGAGGAAGCACCCCTCCTTGTGGATGCTCTTCCAGACTATAGGTGTAGTTAACAGTAAAGTCAGTCCTAGTGGCTCAAAACTCACATGATCAGAGTCCTCAGGAGGCAAACACTTATTTTTTTGAGTATGAAGAAAAATTACTCAGAAATGAGAATGACAGAACAGGTGCTAAAGAGTCAGAGATTAAATGAATTGTTTATATCAAAGTTTACTTTTCTAATTGCTCTAAATTAGCTTTTTTCCTCTACAAAGTCTAAACAGATTGTTTGGGTCTTATTTTTCCTTTGTGTACACAGCCAAATTGCCATTTTCTTCTGACCTTCAGGTAGAAAAGTTCTGTCCCCCTTCAAGGCTCATAACCTGCACAAACATGGCACCAGCAAGCCCATGAGCACACTTTTCTGGCGATGGGGACATGTAGGCACTTTCTCGACCTTATAGGGTGACTGAGAAGAATCATAGGAAATAAGAGTGTCAGTTGTGGTTCTGAGCTCTTTTCAAGGCCATTTTAAAAATTGCATTCTAGGCAGAAAGACTCAACTCACAATCCTCAGAGTAGAAGACTAGGAATTCTTCTATGCACTAGGATGGAATTCATACTTTACTATCTCCACACCTCGCCCATACCCAAAAAATGTAATTTACCAAGCTGATGCTGATGACGGGACACACTGGAGTACAGGAGCAAAGTTATTTTGAATAAGAAGTTAGCATTATTTCTTAATTCTTAATTCTCAATATGAGGCTGAGCTTAGATCAGGAAAATCCAGCCTTCTATTCCTTTTCATCAGATTCCTCAATGCCATGTGAAATACTATAAAAACATTGAAATCACCTTGAAGGAAAAGAAAAAGATCAAATTATAAAGTTAGTCTCAAGTCTTTTTGTGTCATTAATTTGTAATAATAATATATGATACTATAATAATTGATGATTTATTGGCATAATTGATGGGTCCTACAACCATTTCCATAAAGCCCTGATAAATGTCTCATTTAAGTGAACTAAATAATTCTTATTGTGATTTAGTCATCTCTTATTTCTCTTGTGATAAGTCCTGCTTAGCATACCATACAATTCACATGAAGAAAGCTTTCAAATAATTCTTTTCCTGCCTCTTTGCACTCTGATCGTCCTTAACTCTTTCCCGATGGAAACTGAATGTTCTCTGACTCACACCCACTCATGTGCCTGTCCTCCCTACAGATCCTCCCACTATCACGGAGTCCAAGAGCAATGAAGCCACCACAGGGCGACAAGCTTCACTCAAATGTGAAGCCTCAGCAGTGCCTGCACCTGACTTTGAGTGGTACCGGGATGACACCAGGTATGTACCAAGCCTACTGTATCCCTACTACTGCGCTAGGTAGTCCTAGAGACCCCATGGCAAAGTCAAGTTCACTTGTAATTATACAGATCTGGGGTAGCTGAATCTTCCTTTTACCATCTCTTGGCAAGTGTGTTGAAACCTGTTGGTCTGAAACCCAAAAACCCCTGAGTGAAATATAAACATGAAAGCTGGTTCTTTAACAGGCAGTGCCCAACTGCATGTCCTTCTTGCATGAAGTGAAGCCCCGGTGGACTCACCCAATCCTGAGTCTTCGCCATTGATAGATATCAGTCCTGATCATAGGGATGGCACAATAAAAATGAAGAACTGAGCAAACAATTCTATTCCCTTTCACTTCTTTCTTTTGATGTAGGGATAGGGAAGGAATTACTAGGGTATGCCTTCATCTTTGTTCCTTTTTCCGCATCTGCTTGTGTACTCATAGGATAAATAGCGCCAATGGCCTTGAGATCAAGAGCACGGAGGGCCAATCCTCGCTGACGGTGACCAATGTTACTGAGGAACACTACGGCAACTATACCTGCGTGGCTGCCAATAAGCTGGGAGTCACCAACGCCAGCCTAGTGCTTTTCAGTAAGTATGCCAAGGCAGAGTCCTACTCGGGAGAATTAAGTTCTCACAAGGTAACCTGAAGGTCATTTCTTTATCCGTGAAAGGTAGACCTACAAAGATGCTAACTGAAACACACAGGGCTCTCAGTTCACAAATGGAGTGACTTCTCTCACTGTTCTGTTTTACTTTCACGTCCTGCTTTGTGTTTTGTTTTCTTTCTTTCCTAGCTGAGTACACTGTAGGAATATTCAGATAACATGAATGTCTTTGGTGGGGGTCACTCTGAGAAGCAAAGTTGACCTGAGAGACTGGTAGTGGGTGGCAATTAGAAAATGTCAATGATGAGGAAGATATGGAAGAAAATCCAGTGAAAATGGTTTAGGTACCAGACGGGAGATGTTGAATAATAGTGTCTTTTTATCAGCCCAGGAGGAAAGAGAGAACATATTAATTAAAATATAAAGTCTAAAGGTGATTTAAAATGTGGCTACAGAAAGGTTTCCATATGATGACAGGAAGCATTGCTTTTCTGATAAGAATTGGAATTTTATGAAAGGAAAGCATTTCTCAAAACCAGAGAAGATCCTAAAAGTAGGCTGAAGAGCTGTTTCTGTTGCTGATATTACTAGGATGCTTACCTTAGAGCCTTGCATGTTAGCATGATAGAGCCAAGTTTCTGATTCCCTTAACTTCTTGGGAGGTGACTTTGAGTTTAGGAACAACTGATACAAACGAATGGTGAATAGGATTGTGGGAAGGTAATCACATCTGGACAAGGAACACCATTACTAAAGAGGTTAAAGAAGCAAAAAATCAGCACAGTGGACCAGGAAGTTCTGTTGGACTAAAGGAATAAGTCTAAATAATGTACTATTGTTTTATTTTGTACTGTTATTTTAGACTAACAAACCAAGTGGAAAGTTCTTTTCTGCATTGAAATTCCATGACCAGGATGGATATCTTCATCTCACTTGATTCATTTAGATCAGCTTTCAAGGAAATTTTTAGAAAAAAAATCAACCAAAGTGAGAGATGTCTTGGATTTAAATGATCTAAGCATACTTCAGGTCTATCTGCACTATTACAAAAAAAATCCTCACACATTACCTTAAATTTCAACTTCAGTTTCTCAATTCATTGTCCTTGGTGGGTAAAGTTTAATAGACTATAGCTATAAAAATGCTGCCGATGTGACTGTAATGTTCAAATCGCTGGTTACATGTTTCCAGTAACCAAATATAAGATGTTTCTTTTTTGCTTCAGCTAGAAACATCCATATCTCTAAACAACTTAAGAAAATAGTTTATAAATATGGTTGGTTAGTGCTCCTTCCTGACATTGGGTATTCCTCAGTCGGGTGGAAAACCTGTAAAATCTGTAAAAGCTGTAAAAAAAAGACTGTAAAATCCAGACAAACGCACAGTGTCCTAGTTAAGGCACACAAGGTATGCCTCTCAAAGTTTAATAAGGATTGGATTAAAGAAAGTGAGCAATTGTAGGAGGACATTGTGACCCTGGAAGGTCAGTGAGCACAGGTTTGCAGTCCATTGGACAGTATTTGCATGACAACAACCAAATGACTACCTTTGGTATAAACAGCATGTAAATGAGAACACCTGGTGGAATATACAAAACAAAAGGAATTCCAATCGAGAGGGAAACAGTACGGACTCTCAGTGTATAAAGTCTGATGCCCCTAATAAACTTCGGCTTTGACCATCAGTCAGGGTCCACGCGTGTTATTATCGGCTCCGTGCACCAAGTCCATCGCTGCGGGACAGTGACAAGCAATTACATATTTTTTAAAGATTTATTTTCTTTATTGGAAAGTCAGATTTACAGAGAGAAGGTAAAACAGAAAAATCTTCCATCTGCTGATTCACTCCCCAAGCAGCCACAATAGCTGGAGCTGAGCCAATCCAAAGCAAGGAGACAGGAGCGTCTTCTGGGTCCCCCACACAGGTGCAGGGTCCCAAGGGCTTGGGCCATCCTTGACTGTTTTCCCAGGTCACCAGCAGGCAGCTGCAAGGGAAGTGGAGTAGCCTAGACATGAACAGGCACCCATATGGGATCTCCGAGCATGCACGGCAAGGACCTCAGCCAATTGGCCACTGTGCTTGGCCTGCAATTACATATTCATATGAAAGTGAATTTCGTTCCTCTCCTGCCAAAACAAGGAGTATGCCCATGATATATTTCAAATTATATATGGTATTGCCTACAGAGAGAGAGGAAGGGGTAAGAATGTAAAAAGATCAAATTATTGGGGAGGAGAGAAGTGTGGGCTGGAGGAAAGATCACGGGCTCACTGCTGGTGGGAAGGAAGGAAAGCTCAAGTTCTCTCCCACCATTGCCTTTTCCCAAACATCCATCCAAAGATCTAAGTTACAGAAATGCCAGGAAGGTTACAGGATTTGTAAACTAAAAATCAGAGGATTGGGAAAATAGATCATGCTCATGAGCACCTTTGATGATTTGGTAGCTGTGAATTAGATGAGAGCTAGCAACACCAGTGCTAGGCACAGTGACAATGGCTTGGGATATCTCCCGGTAGAACAGCAAACAGCTCACAACAGCACACAGACAGTAGCAGTGCGAGTTGGTAGCATTCAGAGGCGACACACGCAACGCATTTAGTTAGGGATTGATTATGGCACTTCTTACTGATGAATGGACAGAGAGACCATTGGGTTCTGAAATGGAAAAGCTATTTAAATAGTTCCAAATGTTAATCTGTCACCTCCTGGAACCAAAGCCCACATATGTACATTTTGAACAGGATACCCCGCTCGTTTTCTAACAATAGCGCTACTCCTATGGCAGCACCAACTCTACTACCACCAGTGAGGAATAGTCGGTGCATTGTTGAAGCCTGTTGGGCTGTAGGATTGTGTTTTTGACACAAGGAAAAAGTGAGTGAGAGAAATATGGAGGGAAGTGAGAAGGAGAGGAGCAGTGGGGGGAAAAAAGGAAAAGGAAAGTACGGGTATGTGTATGAGCAAATGGCCCATTGCTTAGATCCAAAGTCAAGGAGATTCATGGAAGGAAGGAAGATACTGTGCAAGCAAAGGTCATGGTACTTTTCCTCAGGACACTGTCAGGAGGGCAGAAAGGTGCTCACAGCTTATTCTTTGCAGCCGTGGACCTGATGGAAGCACTGTGTGGGCAGCAGGACACTCTGCTGCCCAAGCCTGTTCGGAGCAGACACGGCAGCTGGCAAGCTGCTGTAACGCAGAGGTAGCAGGTTGAGGCCCAGAGCCTGAGCCCCTGAAGGGTTTGTGATTATTCACCATTGCTGGTCGGTCAGCACATTCCAATCACATCCATTGAAGGGAGGTGCTGACTTTTTACACAGTGTCAATTTATGGTCACTTAGCCTCTGCAACATGCATATACATCTCCACTCTATTTAATACTGATCTCCAAAGGGTTCAATCTCATTGAATGGGTGTGCAAGGAAACGCTGTATTCCTAGTCCAAGACTTCCTCTGTGTGAAGCACTGTCTCTGTGACAAACACTAAGCAGCTTTATCTTTGCTCATTCCTGTTATGGAATTGGATCACACCATTCAGAAAAAAAAATACAGAGTCAGATTAATGTCTGTCTTAACATTTGGCCTAAAGTGGTATCACTTGGATTAACACACTTAGTATATGACAGACTGCAGCCTGTGTGGAGAACAAGACAAAGGAGAAAGCAATGCATCCAGCAGACAATGCTTCACATAGAGGAAGTACTGGGCCTCTGATGATGCCAAGGGAGGTAGCATTGTCTACACATGCAGTGAAACAGATTCTGTGTTTCCACACGAATGACCAGGATGCACCCACAAAAGTGATAGGTCCATTATGTTTCAACACATATATAGAGTTAGTTTAATGCAGTGGGTAGAAAGGAAGAATAAGGATGACGATCTAAGTGTCATCACTTCTTACCAACTGAGTGCTTGTAGTATTGTCTGTACCGTGCTAAATATTTCCTATATGTGATCTCAGTCATAATGAAATCCTGCTAGCTACTCATTTTTCTCCATTATTTGAGAGGTTGAGTAATTAGCACAACTAAGTAAGGCAGAATTTGAACTTGAAATACTGCGTTCCCAGCGTCTCTAGACCAATATATTACCTAAGTGTGCACGTAGGCAAAAGTATTAGAACCTGTGTTTTGTAGTTGAGAGGTGAAGTAGTATCTTAATTGTTCCATCCTTCCTCTTTCCTACCTTACCTCTGCTGACTGCTCTGCTTCCGTTTTTATTTCCCTTGCCTTCTAAAAGCTCTGCTCTGCCACCCCAACCTCATTTCCAGTAATTAGATAACTTCGTGTTAGAAAACCTAGTGCTAGTGATTCTTTATAATAAAAGCTTCCTCCTCTATTTCAAACAGAATTTTAAGTTACCATCTCAGGGCCTTGATATTTAATCACACACCATTTGATTATGCTGGCTGAAATTTGCCAAACTCTTTTAACCAGCCACTTGTACGTGCTGCATAGCAAAATGGTTACACCTGAGATTTGAACGCCAGCCATGCGTGAGTTGCAGCGCTCACCAAGCACTAGAGTAAAGCTTAGCATTCCATTCTTTAGACTTCCAACCAGCTGTTGTGCTATGTTGAATATCAGCAGGCCAAGGAAACACAAAAGGCACGAAGCTTCTGGCCTTCTCTTCATTTTAAAGATCCAAAGTTGGAAATCTTTTTTAAGTGGTGCTTACTTTATCCTCTTATGGGATCCCATAAATCCTGGTATTAACTACAAAACAGCAGCAGAATAATGGTGAAAGAATAAGAGAAAAAAGCTGGGAGTGGAAACATCTAAGGAAAGATAAGTCAATAGGATAGAATTAAGGGAAAAAGAATGACTAATGGGGCATGATAGGTCTAAAATGATGATAATAGGGTGGACTTAAGACGATAATAACAACTGGGAAGCTATTGAAAAGGGGCGGGTGGGTAGATGGTTCAGCACTACAAATGGTCTTCTGGAAATGAGGGCAGAGTGCACTTGACCAGCTGTGAACAGTGTGATGAGAAAATATTAAGCTGAGTCATTTAAACAGACTGAATAATAATGGTAGTAATAAAAATAAAATACAGCACAAGGAGTATAATATGGGACGGTGGTCTCCAGCTGCTACATAAATGCTGAGGGCTGTTTAGCTATTTATTTTCAAAGTTGGAAACTTAATACCAAATATTCAGTGAATGTTTAAACCATTTTTCTACTTGACACTTGTGTAACTGAGATACAGTTGTTCACTGAGCTATTATTGACTTGCTCCAGCTTAATACACTTAGAAAACTTTCACTTTTAGCCTCAACTTTCAGTCAGACTAGACAAAATCTCACTCTGCAAGGAGACCGAGTTTGTTCAATATACAGGTGTGTCAACTTCAATCATAGCAAAGTCCAGGTAAAATCTTTTTTTTTCCCCCTAAGCTTGCCATGTAAGATTGCAGGCAGATCACATTTGTACATATTGATGTGTTTTTCTCTTTGCTTTTGATATCTGTTGTTCTTCATTTCCCATTGGACTTAACTGTGTACAAATGTGAAAAAACATGTCAATCATTTTCATATTATACTAGCAAAGTTAAAGAAAGCTCATGAAGAAATGGAGATGAAACATGGTACATGCGTTCCTTAACTTTTTGAAATATCCTCATAATGTTTGGGGTAGCAAATAATGCATCCTATACTTAGAATTTGGGCTTAATACAGCCATATGTTAAATATTAGATCTTCCTCTAAGGCTCCTTCAGAGGGATATTCTATCAACATGCTTGACTTAAGCTTCAGATTGTGAGAAACTTTTGTAAGCTCATATCCTGAATTCAAAAGAAAAACACTTCTCAGCAACAAGTATCATCAACCAAATTTTATTGATCAATTTCAGGTGCATTATAGACTAATGTATACTTTGGTCATTATTTTCATTACTTTGGTCATATTTTTATTACAAACTCAGATACGAGACGACAGGGAGGAAGGGGAGGGGGAGGAAGGGGAGGGGGGAGGAAGGGGAGGGGGAGGAAGGGGAGGGGGGGAGGAAGGGGAGGGGGAGGAAGGGGGAGGGGGAGGAAGGGGAGGGGGAGGAAGGGGAGGGGGAGGAAGGGGAGGGGGAGGAAGGGGAGGGGGAGGAAGGAGGAGATGGTGCTGCGCCAATCCGAAGCCAGGTCTCCCACGCGGGTGCAGGGTCCCAAGGCCTTGGGCCATCCTCAGCTGCTTCCCCAGGCCACAAGCAGGAAACACGGAAGGGAAGCGGAGCTGCTGGGATTCGAACCAGCACCCATATGGGATCCTCGGGCTTTCAAGGCGAGCTCTTTAGCCACTAGGCCACGCCGCCGGGCCTGATTTAGTGCTGCTTAAAATACGTGTTGTAGATTCTTGGCTATTCTGATAGGCACTACAGGGCTAGGAAGATTAAAGGAGTCAAGGGATTCCACGTTCCACTTGTTAGGAGCTAAAGAGGCAAGAACCAGGACCAAGAGACATCACCTGAACTTGATCACGACTATAAACATGCTCTTCTCTAAGAGATCTAAAATCTCATTGGGAAATCTTTCCTGCAGAAGGTATGGTTCTGAATTCAGGCCTACCTCAATCTTATTTTTTTCAGTACTTTGTAATTTTCATTTTGCTAATAGCTCTGTTTGATCTTCAGTGTTCACTGGAAGGGCAGGCAAATGCTTTGTGGAAATTATTGTTTAGGCATGGAAGTTCATCTGCCTTATGATTGTTTGGAAAGCTAAACCTAAGATATAGTATACACATATTCACTTTATATATAATTATGTTGAAACTCTGCATGATGCTTCCTATTTTTCCCTTTAGAGCGTGTGTTACCCACTATCCCCCACCCTGTTCAAGGTCAGTATGATTTTTATCACTGTAGTTCTCTCAGTGGATCTGTAGTTCTGTCACTGGGTCATTCTCCAACATCTATTCTGTAGAAAACTCACGAGAAAGGAAGAAACATTCAGAAACCTCATATACAATAGGAACAGATCATTACATTGAGTCATGAAAAGAAAGACCATCAGTCGTCCCCCACACCAGCTGACAAGAAATTATGATGGGCAGAAATCATCAGTGTGTGACATAGTCCTCTACTCCACATTTGGAAGTTGATAGGCGTGTAAATCTAAAGTCACTGATAATTTTTTTAGAAAAGATTTATTTATTTATTGGAAAGTCAGATATACAGAAAGGAGGAGAGACAGAGAGGAAGATCTTCCGTCCAATGATTCACTCCCCAAGTGAGCGCAACGGCCGGTGCTATGCTGATCCGAAGCCAGGAACCAGGAGCTCTTCCCACACGGGTGCAGGGTCCCGAGGCTTTGGGCTGTCCTCAGCTGCTTCCCCAGGCCACAAGCAGGGAGCTGGAAGAGAAGCGGAGCTGCTGGGATTAGAACCGGCGCCCATATGGGATCCCGGTGCGTTCAAGGCGAGGACTTTAGCTGCTAGGCCACGCCGCCAGCCCTCACTGATAATTTTTAATAAAAATGAACTTAGATGTAGCCCAAAGTTAAAGTCAACCTGATTATATCATGTTAATTACCTTTTCTTACAATATTGTCCAATTCATAAGAATTTTCCCTTAAAAGCATAAGCATCTTGGAATATAAACAAAATTATATTATTCTATATTCCTTTTCCTAGAAGTTTCAAAATGCTTAAATTAAACTTTGCCTCTTGTCTCACATTGACATGCAAGGTGCAACCACCACTTCTAGCTTAAGGCTATTTAAAGACAAATTGGCAAATAAAATTAAAACAATACCCTCAAAAGTTCTGAAATGAAACCAACCTACCATTGAAATTAAATTCCAGAAAAGTGATTTGCAAATAGCACTCAAAGACCTGAGAAAAAAAATTGGAACTAGGTCATGCAGGGCCTAGTGTAAAAAAAAATAAATCCAATTAAGCAAGAGTATAATACACGCTATAAAGGAAATATCCTCAGAATTAAAGATAGAAAGCCAATGTTTTATACCTTTAAAGAGATCATATTGTATTAACACTCATCCAAATTAAAAATTAGAGCAAAATTCTATGTAGACATTCAGATTGTCAACACTGCAATGTTTGCATATATGCGAATGTATACATATGTAAAACTTGTTTTAATTCCACTTGAAATGAGGACTATAGTTTGCCAGGAACAACTAGACAGCTTAATAAAAGTTATTCTTAAATTTTAAGAAGGATCCAAACTCTTCTTAGCATAAAAGCTCAGAAGAACTCGAATAAAAAATTTTCCTAAAACATTAATGAAATCTGTCTCTTATTCCACTCACTAAAAATAAAAATGCTGAAATGTGCAGGTTTTCAGACTTCCAACCAAACTTAGTATTCACAGAAAATATCCCAGTTTGAATTCCTGACATGCCACGATTATTTTAAGATATTTATCTTCTAGCGTGGCTGAAGTGACTGACAACATTTTATCATGTTGCCATCTTACAAATAGCTTGACATGAAAAAAAAAATGCACAGGCACACTAGTTCCATTGGATAACATTTTCAAAGAGGGCATACTCCACCCAAGATGAGCTTTGAACTGTATCACTGTGATGCCACATGTCTTTATAGGCTACTTTTGCAGCCACAAGCCTTAATATTTACCAGATCATGTATTATGATTTTCACAACACCAAGCAAGATGAAGCTAGACACTATTCACAGAGGACAGCTATCGGATATTGAAAAACAGTCTGGACAAGGCCGATGCATGCGGATTTTGTTGAACTTGGCATTTCCCACAGACTGAACTGTTGCTTGGAGAATGACCCTAGTTTGATTTCCGCATTGTCAGTAGACTGTAGTTCAATTTCTTAGATTCAGTAGTTTTGGCAGATTGTAGCTTACCTTACAACTAATACTTTGGGCTTCTGCTGGTAGCGATCGAAAAGCTGTTCATTCCAGGCTTGGGACAGCTGGCATGAGAGACGCCTATGCAAAGAGTTCCCTCCAAGTGAACGCTACCCTCCCAGGACATTAACTTCGTAGGGATTGGGTCACTTTTCTCTTTCTCTTGGGAATCAAGAGGCTACCCATTTTGAATGCAGTTCACCAGGGAAAAAATACTAAACCAACGGGATGCCTAATCCTTTTCACGGTGCCCATTAAGTACCCAAACACTGAACAACAAAAAAAGTCACTGTGGTCTCTTAATTTAAGCTACCTTCATTGAATTAAATATCATAAATTGTCATGGTCCATACTGAATCCTATATTTTATTTCCTAACTGTAATCATGTCTCTAAGCAATTGCTGGATATAAATGGACTGAAGAATTTTGAGCCAATTAATTTCCTGAAGGTGCTGGGTAGGCAGAAAGCCACAAAGCTCTTTTTTCTGTCTTCCTGTGATACAAAGAGTCAACATAGGCTCCCCATTTCCAACCTAACAGAAATATGTAATTCATTTTGGTGGCTCCATTGTTACCATGTCTCACTGGAGGGCCGCCTCTCTCATCCCCACCCGGCGGGGCTTATCAAACTGACAGGGGGTGCACAGCAGCCTCGCAGCAGGAATGTGGTCCCAAACCCCTTCAAGCTGTGATTCAACAAAAAACAAGTCTCTGGAAATCATAATGCATTTCCCCTGGGTTTCCTTCATCTTATTGCTTGATTTTCTGCAGCGATAATAATAATACCGGCATTCTACCAAAGGGAAATGTGTATTGATTGGCTTTGCCCAATCAGATTTTCAAAAGTCCTTTCCTTGTCTGCCAAAAGCAAAATCCAAAGAAACAGAAACAAAAAGAAAGTGTTACTTCTCTGCTTCTTAATTTTAGAGATATAGTATTCCATCCTTCATCTGTTTCTGATAGGTGTTTTCTCCCATTAATTTTAACTTAGATTTAATTTTGAAATGAGTCCTGAATTGCATAGATTTGCATAAACAGCTCTGACTATATTACTGCAGAAAATCCACTGAATTGTAAAATGAGAAAAGAGTTGACTCTAAGTATCTGAGAGAGCTTTGCTTACTTTGGTTCATGTGGCTGCTGGCCTCTGGATCCCGGCAGCCAGGTGTGCTCCCCCCATCCATCGCATAGCCTGCCTTTGTATGGGGAACATGCATCCACACATGTCCTTAGCATGAGCACCATAGGTTCTGAGTTGGGTGATGAATCCATCCTCAGAAAGTTAAAACCAACATAAGGAAGTGAAGAGGACAAGAAGAAACCACTCTTGTTCCCAGAGCTCTCACGTGAGAAAGTCCCCTGAGCTCTGGGCTGTGTGCTCAACCAGCCCATCTTTCTCCTTTCACTGCCTCTTTGAAAAAAAAAAAACACACCCTGGAATGTGTCTCACTGCTTTGCCTCCCATCTGATGATTTATCCCAAGTGAACAGCCTTTCCATTCACTAACTCCGTGTGGCAAGTGGGCTTGGGAAATGTTGAGATTATCTTCCACATTCAGGCGTTGCACTGGGCTTGTTCACAGCTGCTTGCCATTCAGTCCCTGTTTTTCCATTGATAAAATGCATTGCACATGGCTGGGTTTGCATGATTAATACAGCTGTCGAAAGTTCTCTCTGAAAATAAAACAAAGCCCCCCCAAAATTAAAGCAGAAAAAAACATTAAACGTCCAACCCACAAACAAACCATGTTTTCAGAAAGCTGAAACCAGTCACGCATGTACCTTCCCAGAGGGAGGCTGGTGTGCTCGTGGCATTAGATGAGCCCAATTCTACGCATGGGAGGAGGAGGAGATGTACTTGTCCTCTCTCGGCACGCCCAGGGTTGGTTCTTAAACCCAGACTCCAGAAGGATTGGGCAGAAAAATGGGGAAAAGTCCTGAGCAGATGTCACACTGACCACTGGACAATCCCAACAGTTTGCATGCAGGGTTTGAGTGAGAACACATCTGTCTTCAGCCTCTTAATGGAACAGCAGTTTCACCTGCTCTAATAACGGTGCTAGCAATACTAACAGCGATAGGTAACGTACCTATGGGGCTTTGCAGGCACCAATAGAGTTGTAAGAATTTTACTCAATCATTAATGCCCCAAACACTACCGACAAAACATGAACATTCTCCCACCCTTTTTTATGATCAAAGCACACCCAAATTCAAGTCTACTATTTTCTTAGCCAGACACATATATAAATTCATACAGCACTGTAAATTACCACAGTGTATACGTGCCTGTTCATTAGATAGGCGTCTAATGAATTTTAAACCTTCATCTAATTTATGTATTATAACACTGAGCCACTTTAATATGCATGCATTTTAACAAAGTCTATTTTCAGATATGCTCAACACATGGAAAGATGTATGCCAACTCACAGAGATTTATATGGAAGCATTCATCTTTTTAAAAACACGAGCAGAGCTATCTGGCATCGGCACATCTCATTTCACACACTTATTCAGGCTGATTTACATACACACCTCTATTAATCATGGATAATTACTAGGATTGTTCTCTGTAATTCAGTTTTTCCAACTGTGAAATGGGAAAGAAATTATATTTTTCATGCCTGCAAACTCAAAGTGGTATTTTAAATAGTATACAAAAGAGAGGTTCAATTTTCCAGTAAGAAAGCATATTGAATTTTAAATAATCACATTCAGATACGCATTTCTCATCATTTCTAAAGGCAATGATATTTAGAAGTGCATTTGTATTGTATTGCATGGACATTATCTAGATAGAAGTTCAGTGTGGCTTCATTATAATTAGATGTGTATGGATTTGTAGGATTCTAAAGTAGCTACACTACTCAGCTTAAATATGGAAGCATTCCAGGGCTAAAGGTTTTTATTATTATTATTATTATTTACCAACCTCCTATTATCCCAAGGGGAAATGAAAAATTGCAGCTTTCTACGGTGTGGCACATGGGCCT